ATTATCTGAACTTCCTTACTCAGTGTATACTCTAATATGATTTTGTTGTCATGACATTTGACCCTACCTCCTGACCTCAAAACCTTCAACAGGAAATTAATAATAATTAGTCAATTAATAATGTTTGCCTCACCCTTCTGAAAATTACTTGATGTTAAAATATTCTGAGTAAATATAATAATTTTTTTGTAAAGAATTTGTTTGCTTATATTTGCCCAATCAATTTTCCATAAAAAGATATCTGATAATCATTCCGATGTACATCACTTTTTCTCTAAGTTATGATTATGTTCAGCAATGACTTAATTGGGTGTGTGAAATCCATTTTTTTTCTCTTTTGTGGGGTCGTCCGATTTTTATTTGTTCCATTATTTCCTTCATAAACAACAGTTCACATTTCCATCATTAAGCTTACCTTACCAATATATACTTTTTTGTTTGTATGGACATTATCATTTATCATGAATTTGTACATTAAAAAAAATGTTCCTTCACATCCAACAGCAGGGTGTAATACAGGGTACACTATGAAATCTTTTTTTATTTTATGATTTTCAAAGAGAGAGCAGCTTAGCTCAGTCGGCTAATCTGGTGGTAGCCACTGTGTGTGCGCTGTAAAGATCTCTAGGTCCCCGGTTCAATTCCCATCGCTAGAGGCCTGAAACACAAGTTACAATAGCGCACCGCCTTTTGGATGAGACGTTTAAGCCATTGGTCCCGTGTGCATTGATGGCCCATGAGCACATTAAAGAACGCAGTACACTCTTCAGAAAAGAGTAGGGGATTGTCTCCCGGTGTACAGACCCCACTGGAAATAAGTCTTCTTCTAGACTTTTGTGTGCTAACCTTGGTGTTTACACCGAGTAAATTTGATCCAAATCCATGATCCCATATTATCCAGCTTGTTCAATACTTACATCTCTTTAGGCCTAGATAGTTTGATATTAGTTTTAAATCTATTATTTTTACAGATTTGCATCCTGCTATTCCACCACCTACACCAGGAACAAATGCATTGATGAATGCCTGGTTAAAAGAAAGTTTCAGCAGTTTTAAAAAAGAGCAACTGAGACTCAACATACCTTCAGGTATTGTTCAAATGATCTTAAAATAGTCCGAATGCTAATTTCAATTTAATTTAATTTGCAAATTAATTTACAGTGTACTACCAAATTCTTAAATTAATTAGCCAGCAAATTTAAGGGACTATGCAAAGGAATAAAATTCAGTGTATTATTTATATATCTGTTAATTTCCCTCTAATTTTTATTTGAAAGCTAAATGTACTCAAAATAAAGCAAATAAATTTAAAATAACATTTAGCTTAACACTAGTACATAAACCAGCTATCCTAAAAAACAACATTGATTGATAGTGTCTTAAAAAAATAGTCCTTAAAACACATTTTTTTTTTTACTATTGTTGTTAATGTTACTTCTGTATACAGTTTGAGTGATTTATAGTTGCTCATTTTATTTAAAGATTAATAACTGTTTTGTTATTATATTAGACCCTGGACAATGGAGTGAATGCCATGTAGTTGCCTGGTTGCTTTGGGCTATCAAGGAATTTTGTCTGGAAGGTGTACTTGTAGAGAATTTCAGTATCACTGGACAGAAGCTAGCTAGTCTTTCAAAGCAAGACTTCCTTTCAATGGCGCCCCCATTCATGGGAGACATTCTGTGGGAACACATTGAACAGCTAAAGAAAGGTCAGCTTATGCTTTTAATATAATATTCCTTATTGTAGACAAATTTTATGTAACTATATAAGGATCTATGATTAACACTCTATTCTTATTCTGAAATAACTTGAACAATAATTATAAGAAATGACAACAGCATTTTTGAGACTAATTCTAACATTTAGGCGCCAATAAAAAATATTGTTAATTTATCATCCCTGCGCAAATGTCTTCTATGGTACTGGGAAAAAAAATATTTTTGAAGAATATGATTTTTTTTTTAATGTTTTTGAAAAAAACAACCTTTTTTTCCCCTTTTTAAAAAATTAAATAGTAAATATATATTGTTTGTATTATGTCAGTCATGTTTTACTTTGAATATAAATGCACTAGCAAACAACCCAAGGGTGATATTTGGCTTTAGCAAAATAAAAAATTTAAAAAGAAAGCCTCCCTCCATTAATTTTCCAGCCTAGGTAGGGTGATAAACTAATAATATTTTTTATAGGGCCTTATTAGCTTTTGTCACACAGTGGCAGCATTCAATTTACCCAGTATCGTATCTCAAAAAGTGCGATACGTTTTACGCTAATTGAGAAGCACTTCCACAAATGCGACGCAATTATTTGCCTGGCTGTAAAAACTAAGAGGCTACAAAATAGTACCAAAATTTTTTTTTTAAAGTCAAAGTCAAAGTTGTTAATTTTCAATGTTTTGGGCCAAAAATAGCGCAATATGCTTGTATACATCGAGTGCACACATAC